TGCACAGAGAGAAACTGCCAAGCCGAAAAGAGAGATTCCCTTTTAAAAACTCCTGAGATTCATTCCCTGGAGTCTCTGTGGCTCTGAAACCCAGGATTTTTATGAGATAGTAGAATGAGTGGTGGGGAAGAGAACACAGTCCCCCCCCATCTCACTGTGGGGCCTGATTCTGTGTTTGTGTCTCACTGAGCTTCATTCTGAAAATTGTAAATCAAGAAACTCGGAGCAACTTATGAAAGTTATGTCGAGAAGCTAATGTTCTTGATGCTGTCATCATGGTTGTTATCTCTTTCTCAAGCAGCTAGAAAGTACTTGTTTGTGTCCTCATCTCTGAGGACCAGCTGTGCACAAAGTGGACCTGTCCATCTTCTGTGCTTGGCATGTATTGGAATCTGACTTAAAAATGTGATCCTCGTTATAAAGTGGCAGAGGACTTGTGTGAATTGTGTTGTGTTGGATGGAAGGTAGAACTTCCTTGGCAAACTGATGGTTTCTGAGGAGATTTCCAAGGAAATTGTTAAAGATGTGGCTCATTTCCTTTTTCATCCTTGTAACCATAAAGATAGAGGAGAGAGATAAAGAGAAACTTGTACACAAAGTGAAGCCACAGATTTTTGAAAAGCCTCAGCCTGTTCAGATATAATCATCTGGAAGCAGGCTCAGGTTTGTGCATAGACAACCATTTGCTGAAGGGATTATCGAAATTACTCTTGGTCCCAATCAGAAATCCCAGAAGCAGCCAGGAAGGGAGCTGTAGTTATCAAGGAAAGATGCAGAGGAAATGCTTGTCCAGTGGGTTGCTTGGAAATCAAGCCACACTTTTGATAATTTTGCACCAGAAGAGGGTGTTCCTCCCTGGATGAAGAGAAATAACCAGCATGTGATGACGGAGCACACAGCCCCAGGCACAGAGCCCTGCTGGTTTGTCACTGCAGCTGTGAGTCTGAAGACCACAGGGTGCCACATGCAGAAGAATGAACCAGGACTCCCACTTTTCACCACTTACAAAAATCTCTTCAAGATGGATAAAAACTTAAATAAAAGTTTTTATTTGGCATGAAAATGGCCAGGCATGGTAGCTCACGCCTGTAATCCTAGCACTCTGGGAGGCCAAGGTGGGTGGATCATTTGAGCTCAGGAGTTCGAGACCAGCCTGAGCAAGAGCAACACCCCATCTCTACCAAAAATAGAAAAAATGAGCTGGGCATTGTGTTGCATGCATGTAGTCCCAGCTACTTGGAGGCTGAGGCAGGAGGATCCCTTTAGCCCAGGAGTTTGAGGTTGCTGTGAGCTAGGCTGATACCATGACACTCTAGCCCAGGCAACAGAGTGAGACTCTTGTCTCAAAAACAACAGAAAAGAACAGCATGAAACCACAAGAATCCTAAATGGAAATGTAGAAAGAAGCTCTTCTAGATATTGGCCTGGACAAAGAATGTGTGACTAAGACCCTCAATGCCAATCATGCCAACAACAAACATCAATAAATTGAATTTGATTAATCTAAAAAGCTTCTGCACATCTAAGGTTACAGTCAACAGAACAAATAGAAAACCTACAGAGTGGGAGAAAATATTCATAATCTGCATTTCCCTAAAGGGCTAATAACCAAAATTTACAAAGAACTCAAGCAAATAAGTGACATAAAAGAAACATCCCTATTAAAAAGTGGGGAAAAAGCATAAACAGAAGCTTCACAGAAAAAGAAAGATGAATATCCAATAAACATATGAAATCTGCTCAATATTATTAATCATCAGGTAAATCAAATTAAAGCCACAATGAGTTATTTACCTTACCCAGTTAAATGTCATTTATTAAAAAGTCTAAAACCAATATATGCTGGTGAGGACACAGAAAGAAGCACTTACGCACTGTTGGTCCTGCTACAAGTTAGTACAACCTTCGTGGAAAACAATGTGGAGATGATTCCTGGAGAAAATTAAAAGTAGGACCTTCCAATTGATCCAGCAATCCTACTAGAGGGTATTTACCCCAAACGGCAAAAAATACACCCCACTTTTCATCAAAAAGACATCTGCACTCAAATGTTTATGGCAGCACAATTCACAATTGCAAAGATGTGGAAACAACCCAAGTGCCCATCAATCTATTAGTGGATTAATAAAATGTGATATATGTATATCATGAAGTACTACTCAGCCAGAAAAATCAGTGGTGAACTAGCACCTGTTTATTATTGTGGATAGAGCTGGAGCCCATAATTTGAAGTGGGGTATCACAAGAATGGAAAAACAAGCACCACATGTACTTATCATCACACTGGTACTAACTGATCAGCACTAAGATGCTCACATGGTAGTAACACTCACTGGGTGCCAGTCAGGTGGGGCATGGGGGTAAACTCACGACTAATGGATGCAGAGTGCACTGTTTGGGGGAAGGGAAGATTTCTAGCCCTGGCTTGGGGGAGGAGACAAAGGCATTACCTGTAACGAAAACGTTTGTAACTCAATAATATTCTGAAATAATAAAAAAAGAAACTCCTTGGGTGCCTGAACTTTTGAATTAGGTAATCCTGGAGCCACTCACATCCAGGCCACTTGTTTTATTAGGTTATGATTTTCCTTATTGTTTAGTCGGTTCATGTTCTCTGACTTTAATTTTTGCTAAAATAGCCACATATGATAATCTAGAGGCATTAAGATAAAAAATAACAGATTATCAAGGAAAAATAAACCCCTGGTGAGGTGAAAATTAGCATGTGGTTCATAGTGTGTTAACAGACATGGCTGAAAGCTAAGTGTGGGCACACAGTTATTTTATCTCCATCAAGGAAATTTTTTGTGTATACCTTAGATGAGATTCCCTTTGAGACCTTTGACCTCATATTATGTGTTGATGAATCACATTTCAATAATAAAAATGGGTGTTAATAACCATTAATTTATGTTACTAATGTAAACATTTCTCAGAATATAGTGCTCAACCTGATGTAAAATCAGTCCACATGGTAGAAGCTATTGCACTTCTTAGAGCTTGTTAATTAGCCGAAAACCCAGATCAAAGTTATTTATTTATTTATTTGAGTAGTGCATGAACCTGGAATACCTTCCGAACAAAAGGATTTCTCACAACTTCCTGAGACCCCATCAAAATCAACAACAATCTAAGGAACTTTCAGATAAACCTCCAAATCATAGGGACCTGACTAATATAACTTTGGAAATCATGAAACAAATAATAGCAAGTCTGCTAAACAAATGTAGCACATATTACACAGAACAAGCAGCCTTAACCTACTGTATAATCTCATCCAAACCTGTGAGGCATTTCCATTCCTCATATAACACACCATCAATTGATTATAAACCTTCAACATATGCTGATAAATTGGCATTATTAAATTTAAAGTGTCAAAACTTTGAGAAATCCCTGAACTCCCTTAGCAAATGGTTCTCATTAGGACTTATGTCATAATGGTCTACTCACTCCAGGACACATCAGTTACTACCCATGGCATGGTAGCCAGACAGATGCAACATTTAGATTTGAGTGAAAAGACGAGCATTGTCCGGTGACATGCAAGTATTAAAATTTTTGAAAGTAATAGGTGTTTAGGTCACTCCTATCACCTATAAATTCAGGCTGCATTTTTACTACATTTTTAAACAGTGTCTCCTGATGTTCAACCAGGACATAGTGTGCATTGGAAGAGACATCAGGAACACACTGCTTTTGTGCCATATTGGAACAAATATTATTATGAACTTTTAAGAAAATACAGTAGTGGACTTCCAGGCAGGCAATTCTTGGGTGCATATTTCAGAACTAAAGTATTAACTCAGATTTCTAGACACTTGGAAGGCTACTGCAACAGGAGATGTCAAAACAGCATCCTCATACAATCTGCAAAGCTTCTGGTATTTTGAAGCCCACAGCTGACCCGCTACCTTCAGGATAAGCTAATTATCTTGAACAGTAAAAAGCTTCCACTCATGACCTGTGACCAAGACTCCTGCCTAACTCCTGTTCATATTCATTCTAATTAGTATCAATATTGTCTCATACTAATAAAATGTCCCATAGTTTTCTGCAGACCTGTTTGTTTTGTACTCATAATGGCCCTTTTGCCTGTATTCTTACTCGTTTGTATAGTTGTTGAGTGGAATAAGAAAGTCAGAGCCTCTTGGTGTCTGTCCTTGGGCAACTTAAGGCCCATCTCTCTGTCTTCTATTCTTGCTCCAACCATGGAAATACTAGTAAAGAATCGCAGGTGTCCCCCCTATGCTCTGTGCTGCCAGTGGGGGGCCAAACCCTGCAAGACACTTCCAGCGAGTGGGAGCCCCCAACCTACCCTGCCACAGAACAATTATGCAAACCCTTGTCAGTCTCTCTTCCTGCTGAATAAAGTGCTGTGGGCTTTCTTGAGAGGCCTGCTTTGCTCTGCAGACAACTCACTAATGCGAACACTAAGCCTGTCCATGTTCACTTAGTATGTATATGTGTGGGGTGTGCCCAAGAATATGTGTTATCTTCAAATTCGACATACATTCCAAATTTTAGTGCAGTTCTCTATGCCTTTGTGTGATGGCAGCTACAATTGGTGCTGTGAGCTTGGTGCCAGGCCCCTGAAAACCACTGGGTTTCTCTCCTCTTTCTGTGGAATACTAACACCTGTTCTCTGATGTCCCCCAGGTACTTTGTCCTGCATGTTGGCTTGTCAGAACTTTATGTTTGGTATTGTGCAGCATTTTTAAGTGTTACAAACATTTTTCATAAATGTGGTTGAATTATACAGAAACACTGATAATTAACATTTATGAACATGAATAATTGTAGATGAAACTCTGCCTGTGTGCAGGAGAGAGTGTTTTAATTATTTGGGAAGAACGTTTCCGGTTCAGAGACTTCAGAGGTCAGCACAGAATGCAAAGAATTCCCAGAGGAAACCATTTTCTGGAGCAGAAGCCAGGACCCTGAGGAAAGACCAGCGCTTACCCTACACAGCACCTGTTCTATCTGACTCTGCTCCTTGTTTACCACGCGCCCCCTGGCAGCTGCCACATCCGCACAGGAGGTTTGTGACTCAGCTCACACTGATGTCCCCTCACTGTGTCTCTTGTACAGTAGTACACGGCCGTGTCCTCAGCTTGCACACTGCTCATCTGCAGATACAGCATGTTCTTGCCGTTGTCTCTGGAGATGGTGAATCGGCCCTTCATGGCATCTGCATAGTATGTGCTACCACCAATACCAATGACTGAGACCCACTCCAGCCCTTTCCCTGGAGCCTGGCGGACCCAATGCATATCGTAGCTGCTGAAGGTGAATCCAGAGGCTGCACAGGAGAGTTTCAGGGACCCCCCAGGCTGGACCAAGCCTCCCCCAGACTCCACCAGCTGCACCTCACACTGGACACCTGCAAACACAGACACATGCTGGTCAGAAACTGCCACACCCCCCCCCCGTTACTCTCACTCACATCCACTCACACACCAAATATCTCTAGTTCTCCATGAATTACCTTGTAACAGAGCAACAAGGAAAACCCATCTCAGTCTAGACTCCATGGTGAGTCTCTGTGTTCTGTCCTGATCACTGAATGTGGACACCTGGGAATGCCGGGGCTGGGGCTCCTCTCCCAGAGCTGCAGGGTGAGGGCTGGGCTGGTTTTCATCAGCAGAGGGAGGGCCCTATTTGCATGTCCCCTGCTATATAACAAGCTCTGGGTGGGACACCTAAGGAGAGGGCAGGGCCCAGAGAAGAGAGGAGTCCTGGGGGAGGTTGCGGGTCAGAACATCTTCAAGATGAAATTCTAAAAAGAAGAAGTTCTTCAATGTCTGCATCAGCAAGCATATATCTGGTGAGAGGTACCTGTGGTATCTGGGTCTGTGCTTCCCAACACTACACACTACTTTTCCGCTGAATCAACTGCAAGATCATTGTGAACATGCTTCATAGAGTTGGCAAAGTCCTCTTTCTGCAATGAGAACATGATGTGGTTTTGCTGCATTCCAGTGTTACAACTTCAAGGTTGTATCAAACTTTGGGCCATAGAATTCACATTTCCTCTGACACTGATGTTAATTAACTGAGACATGAACCTCACTCAGCTGAGGCGATACAGGTTCACAGGTATTGTCAAATGCAACTGCTGCTTCCTCTGTGTTGGGCCAAGGGCACAAGACTGGGGCCAAAAAAAAAACACTGAAGTTTGTCTTTACATTTCCCTCTTGCCAGGAAGTTCCACACACGCCCACATTCAGTCCATCTGGATATCACAGGCTTGGGAAGTACCAGCCCTAATCTTCGTGCAAATCATACTATGAGTGTGAGTGGTCTGGCTCCCCTGTCCACTGCTGCAGTTAGCACTGTGGTTGTACTTGACATTCACTAGTGTTCCCTCCCACCTTCACTCTGGATCCTTATAAACCATGGCCAGCATTTCCACTGAGGTTTGCTGTGTGTTCTGTGATGGAGTGACTCAGGCCTGAGCACTGCAGAGCCATTTTCCTTCATCCCTTGGCAATCCTCAGGCATGTGGTTGATGCAATTGACCTCCCCAGTGTTGAATGCAGTGGAGAAACCACAGAAACTGCCTAGGCCTGAGGGACTGCCCCTGTCTCCATGGATACACACAAGCTTAGCCTCCAAAGCAGAGTTAATGTCTTCAAGTGGGAGAGTGCCTTTCATTGTTGACTGGTCCATAGTCATGAGAACCCGAGTTGAGGGGCACCAGACCAAACTTCAGATTCAGGGAGCACATTGTGCCCCAGTAGGAGTGATCCTCCCCGGGAACCAGGACTTCTAACATTGTGGCACTAAGAGGAAAGATTTCTCAAGTTGTCACCATAGTGTGTTGATAGGAATTAATCTCACCTCTACCTCTGATTTGCCCAGCACATGCCGCATTCTTTGTGACCAAGGAATCCCTGCAAGGGACATTGGTGTAGATTAACCAAGACCCATATGTTAATTTTTGTTGTTGCTGTGATTACCGTTGGATTCTTAATAAACTCTTGCCATAAACTTATATGTAGAAGAGCTTTCCAACATTTTCTTCTATAATTCTCCTGATTACCACTCACAAAAATTAATTCAAGGCAGATAACAGATTTAAACCACACCACAGTTTATCTATGACAGAGAAGAGTCCATGAGTGGATGCTCTCATCTTCCCCACATAGGTGAGCATGACAGTTTGAGGACAAAATATACACCCAGAGAAAGAGATCAGCAGTTGCAGGTCTTTTAAGGTAGATTTAGTGCAAACACTGATACTGGTGATCTCCCCCTAATACTCTGACTTTCTGATCTTAAGAAAAAGAACTGAAATATTCACACCATTCTATCTGTCACTGAACATTGAAGATGCACAGAAGCCTTGAGAGATCAGCTGGAACTGCTAGAGAGGCCTGCACATCTACACAGCAAACACCAGTTTGCATATGATCTGCATATAGGCATAGATGAAAAGACTTAAAGAATATAAGATGTGTGGCATGTGAGTATTTTCTCTTATTCTGTAAGTTTTCTCTCCTGATAGTGTCCTTGGCTGTGCAATGAGGTCCCATTTACTTATTTTTGTTGTTACGGTGACTGCCTTTGGCGTCTGGTGGATGGACACCCTTGAATCTCAGACTGAGGTGGAGTCAAGGCAATACATGTAACCTAAACATTTATAACCCCATAATATTAGGGAAAATATGTAAAAAATTAAATAAAAAAGGAAAATTATACAATTTGCATAAAAGGAAATAAACCTGGGTGGGTGTATTTGTACTGTTACATTTTAATTTTTATTTTATTTTAATGGACAAATTAATGCATATATTTAATCTCATAAAATATGTTTTGATATATGTATACCATGCATATTGATCAAAATAAGAAAACTAGCATATTTCCCCATCCAAAATATTTATCATTTTTTTCATTCCACAATATTATGGGAATACAAACACTTTGGTTACACATATGCTTTTGCCTCACATGAGCCAGAGCTACAGGAGTGGCCTTCAGCACACAGTTCACTCCCCATGCATTAGTTGTGAGTTTACACACCTCCATGCTCCCACCTGTCTGGTGTGTATTGAATATTACTACCATGTGAACACCTTAGTGTTGATTAGTTAGTACCAATTTGATGACGACCACATGTAGTGCTTGTTTTTGCATTTTGGTGATACTTCATTTAGTTGAATATGTTCCAGCTCCATCCAGGATAATAAAAGAGGTGCTAAATCACCATTATTTTGTGTGGCTGATTAGAACTCCATGCTATACAGATACCACATTTTATTAATCCACTCATGTATTGTTGGGCACTTGGGTAAAATTTTATTTATTTTTGATTGACAAATAATAATTATATATATTGAAGGTACGCATTGGGATTTCAATACATGTATACATTGTGGAATGATCAAATCAGCATAATTAGCAGGTCCATCAACTCAAATATTTGTTATTTCTTTGTGGTGAGGATATTTAAAGTCCTATGTTTCAGCAATTTTCAAATATGCAATACAATATTATTAACTATAGTTTACTATGAAATACAACAGAGAGCAGTCTGTGATTGACCCAAGTATAAATAAAATATACTAAAATAATATATGATAAAATATAAAAGGGTTTTGCCTGAGTTTTGGTCCTCTTCAAATGCTGTAAGTATCTTACTGCAGAAATTCACCCATTGACAACATTGCATATCCTTAATACCGAAGCACAGATTATAATTATATCTAGGAATCCATACAATTTTTTTAAAAGTACCCATATACTGTTATGGTTTTTACCTCTTATCATAGGGACAAAGAGGTACACCTCACCTTAAACACTGTAAGTATCCCCTTGCCTAAATCACCACAGTCATAGCACGCATCATTCCCAAATACTCTACTGTGGGCTTGTATGCTCTGACTCAAAGAGTAGTAAGTTAAAATTAAATTATTTCATTATGACTTAGTCTTAGGTGTGACAAAACAACACCCCATGTATCATATCCTTACAGTAGCAAATACAGGCTGATGTAAGCTAAAATAGACTCTGCAATGATGAAACCCATGATTCAGGAGCAGTTTAGAACAGAGGTGATTATCCCAACGGCCTCTGCTCTGGCCATCCCCACTTGATGTGTTTGACTGGGAAAGACTGAAGGACATCGCATGGTAGGTTACTGCAAACATCATGTTGTGACTCCAGACACTGTCACCACATGCATCTTACTGAAATCGCTGACTCCTTTCAACCAGCAACTGGTAAACATTTATCTCTTACAGATTTGGTTGCTATGCTCGGACAAGGGCACATTTAAACAGGCTCCCAGCCACAGTTTAGCAAATTTATTTTAAAAAGGAACCTATAATTATCAGCGAATACAAAATAATCATGAATTACTTGGAATATATACTATTTTCTTGAGCAAATAAACTAAGAAAATAAGCATGTTGCTAACTCTATATATGAATATGCACAGTTGAGATATTGTGAAGACAGAATTCTGTGCTGACTTGAGTTGCCCCTGCACTGGTCACACTTTACCATGATAAACACGTGCAACCACACCCATCCACACCATCCATTTGTGCCATATGGCAGCTGTGCTGTTTCACACACACAAAGATCTCATCTAACAGGTCCAGGGTGGTGGCTACTCCACAGTGTGGCTGTCTGTACCTCTACTCCAAATGTCATGATGTGGTACATACAAAGTAACCACTTTCAAGGCCTATGGGAGCACCCCAGGCTGATTTCTGTGCTCCTCACTTTATTTCAGAATTGCCCAACATCAGGTCCTTTCATCACAGGCCACTCCTCTTGGACAGATCCTGGTTCACCAGCCCAAGCCCTTGTAGATTCAGCCAACAGGGTCCACATGTCATGTTCTCCCCAGGAGAATGCCTGCCTTCTTTGCCATAATGTCCATGTTCCTCACCCACACTCTGAGTAACCCTTCTCCTCTGGCCACCTCAGGGGCACCCACAGCATCATGACATTCTGTACCATGATATGTGCTCACCAATACCTGAGCTTTGCAGTTTTCTTGGGCTTTACATAAATCAAGTGTGTTTTAATGCTGTAGGAATTTTGAATTAATAATGCTACAAACAACTAAAATCAACAATGTTACTCTAAAGGACAGTACTCACATCTTTCCTGCAGGTCCTGTCCCTTCATCCACACTCCCTGATATGCAGGTTGCCTTTACCTCTTTCCTGTCATACTCTGTAGTCATGTCAAGGCAGAGACTGTACATAGTGGCAAACTTCTCACACAGTTAACAGTTTCCTACTTACAATGAGGACACTTCTGTGTCTAAAAGTAGACATGGAAATGATGCAAGAATGAAAATTTCTTCATAAGATAGATGTGGGAAACAATACAAAAGTAACACCCATCATGAAGAAGAAAAAAAGAAAGAAAAAATCCGTGAAGAACACCACGTGGAGAAAAAAAAAATCCTTCAACAAAACACAAAACACCCCCATTCATAACAACAAGGAGCAGAAGAAAAAAAAAAGAATAAAGCTGCCCACAAGAAGAAGGAGGACAAAAGAAAAGACAGCAAACAAGAGCAGAAGAGGGAGGAGAAGGAGGAGGCTGGACAACAGACCACCAGCAGCAGGAAGCGCCCACAACAAGAGCGCCACTACAACAAGGTGTACCACCATCAGGAGCAACAAAAAAAACACTAACAACAACCAGCAGGACACCACAAAAAACACAGCACAACAAGGAGGCCACCAGCAGCACGTCCTCACGACAGAGAGGTGGAAAAGGACACTCTGAGAGACTCACAGGACACACAACACTCTGAAAAAAAAAAATCATACTCACACAGACAAAAACCCACACGCACATGCAAAACGAGACCACAAGAACAGGACACAACAAGAGGCCCACAACAAAGAGGGAGACACAGCGATAAAAATCTTGAAAAGCCCACACAAGACACACACCCGGCCACACACCAAAACAACAGGAAAAGCCCCAGAGCCACAGAATAGACACACAGACAACACACCCCACATTCTCAAAAAAAAAAAAAAAAAGAAAAAGGGAAAAAAAAAACCAAGGAAAAAATAAAAGGAACTGCAAAAAAAAAAAAAAACAAAGCAATTGGGCAACAAGAAAGGTCCAACTTAAAAGAAAAGAAAAATTGAAAACGATAAGAACTAAGAAAAAACGAACCCGGCCCAAAACCCCAAGGAACCCAAACCGAAACCCAAAAAACGGTCCAACCAGGGAAGTCCAACGAAGGCCCCGCCCCGAAGCCGGGTGGAAAAAGCCCAACAAGTTCCCCTGGGCTTCCCCAGAACCCTGATCTCTCTGATGATGTCAAGGTCATTTCTTCCCATGTGAGTGACATTCTTACTTGTGTCCAGGTGAGAATATGTTCATTTACTACAACAAGGCATTTCTAATTGAGACGCTACAGTGACTGGCACAGAGCCACCAAAGAGGTCCCATGATGAAATTTGTAGAGAGGAAGCCTGAGACTCTGACAGGAAACCAACCACTACTGGCCACCTGCTCCTACCCCTCAGGTCGTTTTTAGGCTTCCAGGATCCCACACTCCCCCCTGGTGGCCCCACATGTCACTGCAGGAGGAGGTTTGTGTCTGGGTTCACACTGATGTCCCCTCACTGTGTCTCTCGCACAGTAGTACAGGGCCGTGTCCTCGGCTCTCAGACTGTTCATTTGCAGATAGAGCATGTTCTTGGCATTGTCTCTGGAGATGGTGAATCGGCCCTTCACGGCGTCTGCGTAGTTTGTGCTACCACCACTCCATAGAACTGCCATCCACTCCAGCCCTTTTCCTGGAGCCTGGCGGACCCAACTCATGGCATAGCTGCTGAAGGTGAATCCAGAAGCTGCACAGGAGAGTTTTAGGGACCCCCCAGGCTGGACCAGGCCTCCCCCAGACTCCACCAGTTGCACCTCACACTGGACACCTGCAAACACAGACAACACATGCTTGTCAGAAACTTCCAAACACTCCCACTGTTTTTCTCACTCGCATCCATTCAGACACCCAGTATCTCTAGTTCTCCATGATTTACCCTGTAACAGAGCAAGAAGAAAAATCCAGCTCAGCCCAGTCTCCATTGCGAGTCTCTGTGTTCAGTCCTGATCACCGAATGGGGACTCTTGGGAATGCCAGGGCTGGGCTCCTCTCCCAGAGCTGCAGGGTGAGCACTTGGCTGGTTTTCATCAGCAGAGGTGGGGCCCTATTTGCATGTCCCCTGCTATATAGAAAGCTCTGGGTGGGACACCTGAGGGATGACAGGGCCTAGAGAAAAACTGTGTGACAGTACCATGATTAATAAGTAACTATTGATGGCTTATCTAATTTACAAACACACACAAAGCATGTGTTGCTGGTGTGAATGCTGGTTTCCATGCATTTAACACATGTAAGATTACCTGGGAAGCATACAGAGGTTTTGTCACATGTCCAGGAACATATATCCAGAAAGAATTATTCTCATTATCTGGCCTATAATCCCTTCCTTGGAAACCACTGCAGATGAGAGCTGCACATGCCTACAGTGCTTTCTAGAATTTTTATTCTGTAATAAAACCTTAAAGAAAATGTTTTGCCTTCCCCTTTTTGCTTAAAGAATATATACAAAATTTGAAATGTAAGGTCAATGCAGATACATTTTCAAGTAGCTAATGCTTCAGTTATTTTTACCTATTTGTCCATCACTCCTTCCATAACAAATCATCTATTTAATTGTCCATATTAACTTAGTGAGGCATAGTTGATGTACAGTGGCGTTAACATATTTAAAGTGTACAAGTGAAAGATGCTGATAGCACCACCACCATTTTCAAGATATCAAGGAAATAAATTCCCCACAGTATTTTCACTTGTTCTTTTAAAATTCCTCCTTCTTTCTTCTTCCTCTCACTTCAGTTACACAGGCAACTGCTAAATTAGTTTATGGTACTTTAGATTAGTTTTCACTTTCTAGAATTTATAAAAGTGGAATCATGTAGAAAGCATTGTTTGGGCTTATTATTATTATTATTATTTTACTCCCTGTAAATACTTATATATGCAACAATGTTCTAGTGATGTGACACATTTATTTTTGTTAAATATGGGTTGTGTTCTAATGAGTCATTTACAAATGCTTATTTATTAAGCTACTGGTTAATATTTTGATTGTTTCCAGTTCCCTTGTATTAAGGATAAGGCTTCTCTTCACCACGGAGAAGTAGATAGCTGAGAAAAAGCTCTTCTTACATCAACTGCAACAACAGCAACATCATCAACTTTTATAAAGCATGACTGCAGAAGCTGTAGTTTAACACATTTTATTTAATATTTCACATAGCAGAAGTTATATGATGAACTTCAAATCTGAAATCTATAGAGAGACCAGTACTTGTGGGGATAACCAGGACCAGAGCATTAGCTTATTAGGCACAGTCCACCAGATGGCATGTGGCTAGGACAACACTGTACTAGATGTATGCACTGGATCACCTGTAGTGGCATTTGGTAAAAGGATTACACTTTAAATTTTTCATTAATCACATAATTGCAGAATTCCTATTCTATTTCCAATTAATTTTATTTCTCCAGTATAAGGGAGACATCATGAAGTTTTGCAGTCACTGATCATTCTGTCACAGAGAGAAGGAGAACATGTTTCTGAAATGCATTCAGACCCTACTCCCCTGTCTCCTACAGATCTACAGAATTGCCATTCAGGGGACAAGAGGCAAAAATCAGTGTCCTAGCCCACTGGGGAACCTTGCAGGAAATGGTAGTGGAAGAGATGTGACCACTAAGTTCTGCTCAGAAATAGAACTCCTCTCCATCATGGGAACAAAGGCTTGATCTTCCGGACAGGCAGCAAACCTGGAAGCTGAACAGGCTGATGGAAATGTTCCCGAGCTGTAAGAGACAAGAACTGAGAAAATAAATTCACTGTTAAGGTTAGGAGGGCAGCGCCACCTTTTGTGGATGGACAAGACAACAGGCAAGGGCACAGTAGAGGCCAAGGGCATGATGCTTGCCTAAGAACCTGGCTCAAGGAGGAAGTCAGAGAAGGCTGCCTCAGGTCAACCCTTCCTTCACCACACCAACCACTGTCAGGTAAATGCAAAATCGAGACTACCCTGGGCAAGCAGAAATATATTGTCTCTAGAATATGGAGTATAAACACAAAGCCAGGCAGGAAACACATACTATGTATCAGTGGAGGTATCTAAACCCTTTTGTGCTCATGGCAGAAAAAACTTTCAACACTTGGAGCCACTTCAACAATAAATTCCAAATGCAAGTCTGACTAGAGCCACACAAACTTCTACGGTACAGGGCTGGATAGCATAATGTGTGGACATATAATGGGAGAAAAATACACAAAATGAAACAATATGTCAATGGCAACCAGCAAACACAGCCTGTCTGGCTAACATACAAAATTCCAGGCTATAATAAATGGATATCAAAAAAATTATAATGAGATTGTGAAAAATGGTGGAATAGGGGTGTCCTCCTTGCTCTCTGCTCCCAGAGCAGAAAGTGAAGAAAATGGACAACCACACGTGAGTGATCTGCACTGCCACAGGACCAGCTTCACAAGCTTGCAGACATTCATCAGGAAATGAAGGGATAAGACAGTCTACAGCCTAAAGCAAAGGTGAATCAGTTATTCTTCCACAAAACCTAGGGAATCAGAGATATACAACAGGGAGAAAGTGAGGGGCGATTAAGCCGCTGCCATCTGGCAGTGGCATCAGCCCTACCTGATGCTGAGAGACACTCCTACTTACACCAAGGTCCACATCCACGTAGGCTGGGAAGGGCCTGAAGTTGGTGGGAAGTGGTAGTGCTGGGCAAAGCTGTGTGGAGAGGAGACTAGAGCAGGGAACAGTGTGAATACTCCAGAGCACACAGCTGAGGCAGTATCAGGTGGGGGTGGGTCCGAACCCAGCAGCCACTCTCCATGTGTCAGGAACCAGAGCCCACTCTGGCATCTCCCTACAGAACACTTCCAGGTCCAGGTTAAGGAGAGTATACACAAAATGAGTCTCTGATATTGGATATAGTTGAGGTTTTGGATGGCACTGTGTGGACAGAGTGTGCAAAGCTAGACTCCTTGATCCATTGGGACTCCCCTCCCTCTGCTCCTGCAATAACACTCCTGTCTCCCTATTCTGGTGGGTTGATTTGGACTCCATGTTTGGAGGTAAGGTGTGGAGAAAGTGCTGGTACACGCCTCTGCCCCACCAATCTAATATTGGATGGTCTCTCACTGTACAAGTAACCCACACTCTGTGTTTAGAGAGCAGAACCCATCTGGGCAAGGCAGAGGTGTGAAGGAGGCTGCCTTTTGTAGATATAAGGTGGAGAGACTTTACCACCCGCAACCTCCTGCAACTTGGGGCATGGAGCTTCCCAGCAAAGGTTCTGTTCCCGCCTTGGGGCGGAGCTGAGATAGAGACTGTTCCCATTCCTGATTCTTATCTCCATTTGTGTAATTAAAGAGGCAGAAGATGGAGATTGGTGGGTCCGGCTGTCCTACCTGTTGGTCTTTGGACTGTCTCTCCCTGCACAAGTCTCCTGAGCTCTGTGTCCAGAGAGCAGAGCTTGGCTGGGCAAGGCTTAACCATGAAGGAGGATGCCTTCTGTAGATATAAGGTGGAGATACTTCACCATCCACACCCTCCTGTGACTTGGAGCCGGGTGCTTGGGACCAAAGATTCTGTCCCTGCCTTGTGGTGGAGCTGAGATAGAGGCTGTTCTCATTCCTGCCACTTATTTCCATGTAATTAAAGAGGCAGAAGGTGGAGATTGGTAGATCTGGCTGTCCTACCTGTCCGTTTCTGGACAGAGTAATTTCAGATCCTATCATAGTGCCTCCCTCTTCAATCTAGGGATTGAGAGCAAATTCACACTCACAAGAGTTATCTAACCTTGGAATCTCTAAGCAAGTGGCCTAAAACTATTTATCTCAAGAGACATAAGGTGAAGACATTAGACCAAAGACTACCTTTGCAATTCACTTCATAAATAAAATCAAGAACAAAGACCATATGATTCTGGCAATAGATGAAGAAAAAGCATTTGACAAAGTCCAACACACCTTTATGATAAAAACTCTTAACAAAATAGGCATAGACGGTCATACCTTATACTTATCAAATCCATTTATGACAAATACACTACTAATATCATTCTAAATGGAGAAAAATTGAAATAATTCCCTCTTCAATCCAGAGCTAGACAAGGATGCCCAGTGTCTCATCTTCTATTCAACATAGTGCTCGAAGTCCTAGCTATAGCAATCAAACAAGAGAGGGGTATTAAGGGAATCCAAGCGGGGACAGATGAGATCAAACTCTCACTCTTCACCGATGATATGATATTATATGTAGAAAACTCTATGGATTCATCCAAGAGACTCCTAGATTTCATAAATAAATTTGGTAATGTTTTAGGTTATGATATCAATATATACAAATCAGAAGCATTCATATATGCCAAGAACCATGAAGCAGAAACTCAAATCAAAAATGCAATACCCTTTACTATAGCCCCAAGGAGAATTAAATATCTAGGAGTATACTTAATGAAAGATTTATACAAAGAGAACTACAAAACACTAAAAAAAGAAATTGCAGAAGATTTAAACAGATGGAAAAATCTACCTTGTTCATGGATTGGTAGAATAAATATCATTAAAATGTCAATATTATCTAAAGTGATCTATAGAATTAATGCAATCCCTATCAAAATATCACCAGTGTTCTTTACAGATATAGAAAAAATAATTCTGTACTTTGTATGAAACCAGAAGAAACCTCATATAGTCAAAGAAATATTAAGTAAAAAGAACACGCTGGGAGGAATCAGTTTTCTGTACTTCAAGCTGTACTATAAAGCAATAATAGTTAAATCAGCCTGGAACTGGTACAAGAACAGATGCATCAACATCTGGAATAGATCTGGGATACCAGAGATGAAACCATCAGTATACAGCAACCTAATCTTTGATAAAGCAGACAAAAATATACAATGGGGAAAAGAATCTCTCTTCAATAAATAGTGCTGGGGAAACTGGATAGATACATGCAGAAGATTGAAGCAGGATCTCTACCTCTCACCTCTCACAAAAATTCACTCAAGATGGATAACAGACTTAAACCT